TGAGAGCGTTGCTCACCTGCAGCTCCTTGATTCTCCTGAGCAGAAATCTCCTTCCGGGTGTGGCAGTGCGGGGGCAGTCTGGAGATCCTGCCCTGCAGCAGGGTGGGCCACGTCTTCAGGAAGAAACATCCCTACGTCTTCCCCGAGGGAAACGCCAACACTTACATCAAGTAAGATCCCACTCTGTGTTTATAATCTCACGACGACGACGACGACGACCAGCGTGGAGGTGGTTTTCTGAGCAGTGATTTTGTACCGATATGTCCAACAGTAACTCAAATGTAGCAGCACGGCTCAAACTAGCCTAAAGCTAACTAAATATCCAGCCCAAAAAAAAAAAGATAAATTCATCCAGAACCACCTACAGGTTCAACTATGAACTGCAACAGTTCAACTCTGATCAATCTGACAGAGCGTTCACATAGAGCGAATGAATAAATGATAGCATACATTAGCAACATGCTAACGGTGTTAAAACCCGTGGTTCCTGCTGTGCCTGCGGCCTGACGGCGGTGGCGACAACAGTCGTAATCATGTGTTTGAACAGTCAGCCTGTAATTGTTGCCTGCTTCTCTGGATCTCTGTTTACATGCCCGGCGCGTCCCCCGTCCTCACCCTCGTCCTCGTCCCCCCTGTCATTACAGGCTGAGTGGAGCCTCTAATGGAGGGTTTGTGTCCTGTCGCCGTGGCAGGCGGCGGCTCTCGACACTCAGCTAATAGCTGATTATCCTCAGAAAGGTTTTTATTTCCAAATAAATCAACAGCAGCGCAGCAGGAGGACGGGCTTTGATCCCACCTTCCTGCTGTGGGGGCGGAGCACGCCGTCGCTCGTCCTGCGGGGTGTAAACACAGCTGGGGGTCTGGACCTGGGGGGGGGGTGTACTGCACTGAGCTCAACGCAGCACTGACATCCATTCAGTCGTACCACATGGGGCAGCGGCGAGCGCTGACGTCAGAGCAGTTTGTCACGAACTTTTGGAGTTTAATAAAATAAATAAATATTTATATATAATCCTCCTCCACTGTGTGGCGCTGTCTCCGTCTCTGGTTATTTTACACGTTTTCATAACAATAATATAAAATGTTTGTGTGTGTGTGTGTGTGTGTGTGTGTGTGTGTGACCACAGGAACACCCGTCGTACAGCTGAAGTGTGGATGGACGACTTCCGTCTTTTTTACTACTCTGCTCGACCTGCGGCTCGAGGGAAGGCGTACGGAGAGTAAGAACACGCACACACACACACACACAAATACACATATTTCTACTGTGGTGAGGTCATTACCCAGCATTCCCAGCTCTGCACCACACTCCATACAGAAATGTGTTGATTTTAGTTCGTCCAGAGGAGAACTGAGGGATTAAACACAGAGCAGAATGTCAACAACACACAGAGGTCAGAGGTCAGAGGTCAGACCTTTTATTTCTGTCTCTCTGTCCAGTGTCCAAAGTCGAGTAGAACTTCGTAAGAAGCTGAAGTGCAGATCTTTTCAGTGGTACCTGGACAACGTTTACCCCCAACTGAAGTGAGTCTGTGGGTCAGTCTGTGTCAGTCTGTGTCTGTGGGTCAGTCTGTGTCAGTCTGTGTCTGTGGGTCAGTCTGTGTCAGTCTGTGTCAGTCTGTGTCTGTGGGTCAGTCTGTGTCAGTCTGTGTCAGTCTGTGTCTGTGGGTCAGTCTGTGTCAGTCTGTGTCTGGGGGTCAGTCTGTGTCAGTCTGTGTCAGTCTGTGTCTGTGGGTCAGTCTGTGTCAGTCTGTGTCTGTGGGTCAGTCTGTGTCAGTCTGTGTCTGTGGGTCAGTCTGTGTCAGTCTGTGTCTGTGGGTCAGTCTGTGTCAGTCTGTGTCTGTGGGTCAGTCTGTGTCTGTGGGTTTTTCTCACAGAAATAGAAAATACTAGAAATGATCAAATATTTGTGTATTATAATTTATTATAATTATAATAGTTTTTTTATTGTTTTGGGAATTTTCCAGTAAAGATGATGATGATAATCATAATAATAATAATAATAATAATAATAATAATAATAATAATTTTTGTGGAAAAACCTCAAACCATAGTTTGAGCCACAACCACAAATAAATCTGCACTGCCCCTTTAAACGGAACCTGTGCATTAATATTAAAGCAGCTGATGAAGAGTCTCATTTAAACGCTTCACCTCCTACCCCCCCCCCTCTTTAAACATCCATTAATCCACCAGGGGCCGGTGTTAATCCCCCAGAATGGAATTAACAGTCTGGCTCTCAGGGGACGCTGGAGCTGACCCTTAAAACCGTGGAATAACCTTTAAGGGTTATTAAAGGAGAGGGAGATAGGCCGCGACTTAACGCTGCACAGTTTAGAGAATTTAACGAGCTGCGGGAAGTTGATCAGAGGAAGATTGGACGGAAACTTTCCCAAAGTAACGACTTCAGGGAAACGTGCTTTTCTTAAAGGTGCAGTCCTGGGTTTTTGTCTCTGTTGACGTTCCCTTGTTTGCCGGCTCCCTCAGGGTTCCGGATGATTCCGACTCTCGGTCCGGGGTGATCCGACAGAGACAGAACTGTCTGGAATCTCAAAGGCTGGAAGGACAGGAACTTCCTGTCCTCACGCTGGCTCCTTGTATCGGGAAAGAGGGAGTTCCTGCCGTCACCCAGGTCAGTTCGTCAGGAGGGGAGGGGGAGTGACATCACCGTGGCTCCGGGTCACACTCGGAGAAGTCTGAGTCAGGGTTTGAATCCAAGTCCAGGTCATTGTGCAACATTCCAGGTTTTGGATGTCTCCAAACAGTCCAGCTCTTTGATAATTTAATTTCTTTCTAAAAATCAGCCTTAATTGATTGGACTTGAAGTCAAGTCTGAGGGGCGTCAAAACCTTCAAGGCCTTGGAAGGCTCCGTCAGAAAAGAGTTGAGTTTAAGGTAAACTGAAGGGT